GAAATGTAAGAAATACGGCTCAGTGAATATGGTGGAAAGTGATCAAGGAACATACTCAGTATCAGCCTTGGGCCTCGTACCCACATGCATGTGCATACTTGTACACATGTGCCTACACAGGTGAAACCACATGCACACCATGCACACAGGCACATGCAAGAAAATGTGTGGCCATATATATGCATGTGTGGTCTGTGTCATGGAGATCTCCAGGAGCTGTCCTTCAAAATAAGTGGATACCTAGAAAATGCATAAGGACTGTTCAGACTTTACAGGGACACGAAAGACTGAAGGGATTAGATTGGGCTACCAAATTGCAGGAAGACCATTTAGCAGGTCAGAGGTCAAAGAGATCCACTGAGGCTTGGATCATGGAAGCCGGTGGGGGCTGTGGAGGCGACAGGGATCTGGGGTGGCCTTATCAGGTGTTTTGGAGTTCTCTTAATAACACGGGGCTTTTTTAAAAGGTGGAGTCAGGATGTGGCACACTGTAGTGAGGAGTCCTGTGGCTCCGCTGAGGACCCCAGGGTAGCAGCTCTGAAGGATGCTGACTCGGCGTCTGGTGTGTGCGTATGAAGGGAAGAGCTGCTGGAGGCCTGAACAAGCAGGGCGGGGGTTTGAGAGACGGGGCAGAGAGTCCTTGGCAGCTACTGGGTGGTGGCTACGGGCTCAGTGACAACAGGAGACGTAGTCAAGGATGACTGACTGCCTTCCTTCATTCACTACTCCGCACACAGCCCCCAGCTCTTCATCACCAGTTCTAGGCGGCCATTGGTTTGGGTCTGTAATATTTATGTCATAAAGGCACTTAGGCCCAATAGAATGCTTACATTAAATTTTAATATTGTCTGCAATCTCTATAGAAAGGCATCTAGATTACAGAAGGTAGCTTATATGTTAAAGATACTCTGTTAAAAAGACTATATTGAGGTACTTAAAATAATGAAAAGGCAAATGTTGGTTTTGTTTGTTTGTTTTGCTTTTCAAGACAGGGTTTCTCTATGTAGCTTTGTAGACCGGGCTGGCCTCGAACTCTCAAAGATTTGCCTGCCTCTGCCTCCTGAGTGCTGGGATTAAAGGCGTGGGTCATCACCACCCAGCAGTCAATGTTGTTTTTATCTATGCTGTCCTATTTGCCAGTGAAGACTCAGTAGTCAGATACTGGGGTGAAAACCTGTTAGCTCAGAGAGGCTGAGAAGCAACCAGCTGACCTTCCATTTGGCTGGACACCCAGCAAAAGAGCTTCTCTCCTTCCATCCCAAATGCAAAGGGCTGTTGAGTCCCTTAAGCCCCTCCCTGCTCTTTCTGTTGTCTCTCTGTTCATATCCTTGGTTCCTCTCTATTCTCTACAGCTAATTCCTGTCAACTAGTCCCTGGCTCTGACCCCTGATCCAAGGTTAATTTTATTAACACAGTCTTGGAGTTTCACAGTGTCATCAAATAAATTGTCAGGGGAGTCTACACCCTAGTTTTCAGGAAAGTTATACCATTAAAATCAGTTGATATTAACTCACTAATGAATTAGTGGTGAAAACAGCTGCTGTTGCTTTTCCCTCCCCTTTCTCCATACTTTTTTTGTGTTGTTTCTAAGTTACTCCGTTTAATATATATCCCATCACTTCTTGTACTTGAGAATTTCTTAGAGGTATAAATAAAACTGAACTGACATTTTTTTATTTTAGACTTGGTGCAACCCAAATCAGCTGTGATTGTAGGTTTGCTCTTTTTCAGGGCGCTGGTCTTGTGTCTGTAAAATGTTTGGTAGTATTTTGTTTATGATTTAATACGTTTGCCTGAAGGATCAGAGCAACACTTGTTAGCCATAAAAGCCAGGCAGTGGTGGCACACACCTTTAATCCCAGCACTGGGGAGACAGAGGCAGACAGATCTCTGTTAATTCGATACACGAAATTGATCCAGTCTAAAAGAGAAACAGCCCACACAAAGGTGATCCCAGCACTTGGGATCCCACAACTTTAATCCCAGCACTAGAGAGGAATATAAGGCAGGAAGAGACTTGAGCTCAGTGCAGTCTGAGGTTTGGTGGAGACAGATGCAGTCTGAGGAGCAGTGCAGTCTACGCAGTCTGAGGACAGGATCACCCCTTCGGTCTGAGCATTGGTAGAGGTGAGAACTCTCGAGTGGCTGGCCGCTCTGCTTATCTGATCTTCAGCTTTAACCCCAATATCTGTCTCTGGGTTTTTTATTATTAATACCAACTAGAACTAGTGCTACAAAAATGAAGTCAGAGGTTAGAATGCACACTCAGCAGGAATGCTGCCCTCCCTGCCGTTGCTCTAGTGTTTGATGGTTTTTTTTGGGGGGGGGGCACGTTGTGTGTATGTTGCTTTTCTTTTTTTCTTTTTGAGGGTGAGAGAATCAAGGTGGTTGCTAAAGAAGAGAGATAATAAATGCAAACTGGTGGTTTGGCTAGGAATGACCCCATACAGTTATATACTCGAATGCCTAGTCATCAAGGAGTGGCACTTTTTGAGAAGGATTAGAAAGATTAAGAGGTATGGCCTTGAGCCGGGCAGTGGTGATGCACGCCTTTAATCCCAACACTCGGGAGGCAGAGGCAGGCGGATCTCTGTGAGTTGGAGGCCGGGCTGGACCGACAGACTCCAAAACAATACAGAGAAACCCTGTCTCGTAAAAACCAAAAAAAAAAAAAAAAAAAAAAAAAAGAGCTATGGCCTTGTTGCAGGAAGTATCTCACTGCGGTGGGCTTTAACTTTAAGGTTTCAAAAACACTTGCCAGGCCCAGTCTCTCTCTTGGCCTCCAAGGGTCAGGGTGAAGCTTTCAGCTGCTTCTCCAGCACCACACCTGCCTGCCGCCAGGCTCCCTGTCATGATGATAACGGACTAAGTCTCTGAGGCTTTAAGCTGGGCCCCAGTTAAATGCTTTCCCCTTTGGACAAGTTGCTGGTCGTGGTTTTTCTTCACAGCAACAGAACAACGACTAAGACAGGCTATAGTTGTGTGTAGGGACGTGGAGCACAGGTTTCCTCACAGAGGACAGGACCCCCATCTTGTCTCAACTCCGCCATGACACTCCAGCACCGCGGCACCTCCACCTCTACACCCATCTTCAGGAACTGCCTGCAACGTTAGTGTGAGCCCTTCCCTCCTGTGCTAGCGTGCATCCTCCTGAATCCATGGTCAAGATCGTTTCTGAAAATACTGGATAGCTCCTTTATTGATCACCAGTTGCATTCCCCTTGGAGTTTCACAAACTGTTACTCCTGAAAAAGACATTTAAAATAATTTCAGAACCAAACTGGACCGGCTTTAGGGCATTTTGTATATGCTGCAGTGTATACAGCAGGATAGTCCCTGTTTAATATTTCAGTAGAACTTTTTATTGTATATTTTAAGTAGACTGGAAATAGGTTGGCCTTTTCCATTTGGATATGTTCACATTGAAAGACATGAAGCCAATAGTCACTTGACCTGACTTGTTTTCTTTTGCTTACTGTGACTGTTGTGTCCTGTAGAAGTCATCCCATCCTGGCTGGAGTCATAGTTTTGCAAAGGGGCCGCTAAGAAGGTTATAGAGAAATCACTAAAAGCTCTAGCAGAAGATGTATTCTTGCTGTGGTGATATTCAAATGAGTTTGTCTTACTTTCGAAGTTTAATCATAATGTGGATCGGTTTTAAAGCTTCTTGTTCTACTTGGTGAGTTTTACATTTGAGACATATCTCTGGGCACCTGTGTGTCTGGATTTGTTGGTTTGTTCCTCCAGCCATCTCTGCTCTCTGTCACTAGCCAGAGGTGCTGCCTGTCTGTAGGGGATAACACAAATGCTCTGCATTCTCTGTGAATTCTTTAGCAACCTTTGCTCCGGCTTTTACAAAAGGTGGTGGAATTGCAGCTCTCTTTTTCTTTCTGGTGTGTGAGATCGAAGGTTGCCTTTGCAGTTTGCCCTTTGGAAAATGCTCCTTTTATGTTTGGCAGTAAGAAGTGAAGGCTACCTTGATTTGCCTAGGATCCTAGGTGTCCTGGAGGGTAGTCTTCTAAGAAGGGAAGGACTGGGTCTTGCTATTGCTTGGCACAGTTGTATCAGTAGGAATTTGAGTTTAGGAAAAGCGTTGGAAAGTATTGAATGAAGAGTACAGCAAGCCTTTCAAGGAATCTTTCTTGTCCTTCAATGAATGGTGTCTTGGAAATCTCAAAGTCCGCTAGAAAGAGCACTGGGGGCTTTTGTTTGTTTAGAACCTTGCAAACAGTAATAAATTTTTACCACTCACCGTCATCGCTCCCTACGCAGATTTCCAGTTCACCTGTATTTGTCAGTGATCATGACTGCTGGACCCACCTTAAAGGGTTCAGTAGTGGCTTCTAAATAAGGTTCATATCAAGCTATGTCTTCGTCTCCACTATAATAACCCGGTGGATTCTGTGTGAGGAACAAGGTCTCACAGGACACAGCTTTTTAATATATTTTTAAAAATCGTGTATTTGTATGGATGTGTGGGGGTGCACTTCTGCCACATTGATTGCCCTTGTGGAGGCCAGAGAACTGCTTGCAGGAGTTTTTCTGTCGGTTCCCATCTTCCTCTTCCCTTCTTGAGTACTGGGGATTGAACTCAGTGCTCAGGAATGGCAAAGGGCTTCCCCGCTGAGCCATCTCGCTGAACCCAAGGAGAAAATTTAGTGAGGTGACTCAGTATCAACACTGACCCTTGCTTTTGATCCCGCCAGGGAAAAAAAAAACATACTGGTCATTGTTATAATGGAAACAGCCTGGGAGATGGGTGGTGAGGATAAGAAGAACAGAGATAAAATTCGGCCACAGCTACGTGTCACACGGGAGCGACAGGGGTGGGGGGCAGGGAACGCAGGGTGGCCCAGGCGCCAAGGAGGAGCACCGGCAAGCGAGTGAGGGCTGAGGGCGTGGCCGGCGAGGAGGGGCGGGGCCCACGAGGAAGGGCGTGGGATGGGGCGTGGCCGGAGGGCGGACGGCTCTGGCGGTTGGAGGTGGGTGGAGCTGCCCTTGGAGGCGGCACCGGCTTGGCCCCGAGGCCCGCCGCGCCCTATCGCGCCAAAGCCGAGTGGCCCCGTGGAGCCCGCGCGCTCCCGCCTGCTGGGGGAGGGCGGACAGGGCGCGGGGAGCAGACAGGCCGCGGCAGGCGCTGTTTCTCTTTCGCTTTCCCGGGCTCGGAGGCGGGCGCGCCGGCGGACTGAGGAGCGGCGGCGGCCGCTGGGTAGGTACTGCGCGGGGGCGGCCCGGCCGCGCGCCAAGTTTGCGCCGGCGGCCGCGGCGTCCCAGACACCTGCCGCGCCGGGCGCTGGAGCCCGAGCCGCTCGGGGGCGGGGCGGGCGTGCGGGGTTTCGGGTCTGCGCTCGCTCGGGGGCGGCCCAGCCGGCCCGCGGCAACTTGTCCTGTCCCGCGGTCCCCGCGCGGGTGGCCCCGACTCCCGGGCCGAGCACCTGCTAAGCGGCGGGAGGGTTTGACCCTCCGGGACCCGCGTGTCCCGACGCGGAAAAGTTGCCCCCCGGCCGCCCGTGCGACACCGCAAGCACTCGCTTCCTTTCCGAGTCCGGGTGACAGGGCTCTGGGCTTGGGATCGGGACTGCGTTTCCCATAGGTTTGCCGCGAGCGCACGAGTAAGTCCTGGGAGTAAGGAAAAGCTGAGTTAAGAGCGGAGACCCAGGCTAGGATATTAATGCTTTGCTGAAGGTCACGAAGGGCTAAGGCCAGAATCTTGAGATTGCAATTAATTAAATTACACCTTCTGTCACATCCTTAACACCATTTCCCCGAAGGGATAGAAGCTCAGAGCCTATACCTTGAACATTCACAGTGGGTGTGTGCTGGTGGAATGATGCCTTCTAGATCTTTCCAGTTATTTTATACTCGCATATGCGCTAACAGCCAAGATAGTAGAAAAGTTCCCCTCTGAAGGATGAGCTTAATGTAGAATGAACTTAATGAAATAAACATCTTCATTGGCATTGTTTTCTAAGGGCATCTTTCTTGTAAGGAACTTGCAAGACGTTTAAAATAACCTAATGAGCTAGTTAGTTGCAAGAAAATTAATGGCATTTCTTCAGTTTTTCACTGTGTACTGTCTCTTACTGTTATTTTACAGTTTATAAACAACAAAATACACAGCCACTTGAGACTTAAAGAAAGTACATTCCCCAGGGTATATGTCTGTTATGTGTGGCTGGTTTCTATTGAGAAAGTTTCTGTCTAATTTAGAGAAAGAATAAATGTTAGTAGAGTGCTTGCCTGGCATGCACTGTACTGTCACAGTGTCAGCTGGGAATGCCGAGTACCTGTAATCCCAGCACTGTGAACAATGAGGCAGGAGGATCAATTAAAGGTTATGTCTTCAGGGGTTCTAGGCCAACCTGGGCTGTATGAAGCTCAACCTCGGAAAACAGTGAATGAATGAATGAATGAATGAATGAATGAATGATCAAAATGAAGGAAAAAATGCAACCAGGGAGAAGTGGGCATTAGTAGAGATTACACTGAGGATGGCATTGGAGAGGGAGTCTCAGGGGCAAGCATGATGTAGCTCTCAAGAGGAAAGGCGTAAGATTCGAGCCTGCAGAATCCATGATGGAGAGGAGTGATCCTGTCAGTCTACCTGATGTGTTGAAGGTTAAAATCAGGAGTGTGGTTTACATATCATGGGACTGGCATTTTTTTTTGAGAAACACTAAATGTAATGGGTAGAATAAACCTGGTAGCAGAATAGAAGCTGGTCTGACTGGAGGGCAGTAGGCATCTCTTTGAGGCCAGGAAATGGACGTCAACTTGATTTGACTATTAACTTGAAGGAGAGTGCCAAAAGAAATAGAGAACATTTTGCTAGGTGGGTTAATGACTTCACTTTTGAGTCTTCGTACCTTGCATTGTCAGAATGCATCTACTCCGGGTTGAATCAGTAACTTTGGGGGCCGTGAGTGGCGGTGATAATTGAGGCTTCAGAACTGGGTGAATTTGTTACTCGGTTAAGTTGACTTACAGGTTAGCTGGACAATAAAGGTTATGTTCTGCTCACCAAATTTAGACCCTACAAGCTTACTGATAAGTAAATGTAATCCAAGGAATTTGACGCCTTCTCTCCATGGTTTTTGAAACAGGTATGAAAAAGCAGGGCTGTCAGAGGGAGTGATGACAGTGGTCTGTGCTCAGGCGGGACGTTCATGCTCATGCGTCAGGACATCTACCAAGAACACTGCACAAGCCACTGGGACCAGCTTTGCATCCACTTAGTGCCCCTGTTTGCCTGAACTGCCAAAGCCAGCTAACCACGAATGGCTACCCAAAGGAAACACTTGGTGAAAGACTTCAACCCCTACATCACCTGCTATATTTGTAAAGGGTACCTGATCAAGCCAACAACAGTGACAGAATGCCTCCATACATGTACGTATGTTTATGTCATCTGCTCATCAGAATTTATCTCTGTGTTTGTTCCTTTAAGACTGGTGCACCAGGCTTCGTCTTGTCTGGATTTTAAGTTTTAAAAATCAGTCTCGGAATTATTTCCAAGTTAATTGTCAGAATATTTATTAATGGGATGTCATAAGCATGAGGTTTTCCTACCAGTTGAATCTTAATACATGTTGACTTTTAAAACCAGATTGTAAAATGTTCTTAAAAGGCTTTAATTGGTTATGAATTTGCAAAAAGTGAACTATTTCAGTTTTTTAAATGACTCTGAAGGAGTTAGAGGATGCCTGTGATTGATTCTTTCTTTCACCAATAATAGCACTGTCAGCATTTCCTGAGAACCTAGTGGGAATGCAGGTTGTCCACAGACCACTACCTGTCTTTTAGGTAGTTACCTTGGTAATTCTGAAGCTTGCCAAGTTAGAAACTATTGTAATACTGCCATGGCTGAAGAACTTGTAAGATTTTATTGTCTCCTGTCTTACCAGAGGGAAGGAGACATTTTTATAACCACTTGTTTTGTGTGAGTGTATACTTTCTGTATTTTCTGCCAGTAAAGTTTTAGACTTCAGTGGAACTAATTCCAGCATGCTCAGTTTAATGTCTATCAGGTGTTCTAAACTAGATGCTCTGTGTACTGAAATCATTTTAGCTTTTCCATTATCTTGAAGCAGTTTGGAGTGGGTGTAGGGGAGAGAGTATTCAGATTGTCCTCAATGTATATATGTGTAAAGGAAGTTTCTCCAACTCTGTCTCACAGCTACGGAGTGTTGGACCTGAATTGAGCTCCAAAGCCTGTTCAGTTTCTCATATAGCAGCAGTGGCTTTTTTTCAAAGGATCCTTTAAGCTCATCTCCCCTGATGAACAGATAGAATTCAGACTCATTGTTTCTTTCAAAGAAATGAGATAAAAAAATCATATGTAAATTAAAATGACAAACTTTATGTTACATATAATTTAATCACAATTTTAAAAAGCAGAATTTTATTGAAAACTGAACATACTGATGCCTACTGGTTCTTGCAATCAGCTGTATTCACATATACTGTGAAAAATCTGTCTAGTGGTGTTGATGGGTACTCCTCTGGGATAGTAATTGGCTCATGCTGTTCAATTAGCAGTTCTATGAAATGTCTTCTATAGCTAATTTGTCCTTGTCTTGTATTTAACTTGAACAGTTAATAAATTGTCATTGAAAACATTTATTGATTATCTATTCTGTGTCAGGTACAGTGCTGATACAAGAGTTCTCAAAATAATAATAAATCTCTGATCAAGGACTTTACATTCTAGGAAAGGGAGCTTGTAATAAATATGTTCCATATTGGTGATGATTGGTATGAAAAGGAACCATTGTAGATAAGGATGGGATTATTTTATATTATTGTATACATTGTGTCAGCCTCTCTATGCCATCTTAACAGAAACTTTAGGAGATTGAGTTCTGTAGGGATATGAAGGACTTTCTAGACAGGGAATAGCAAGTAAGTCCAGAGAATGGGCTTGGCAGGTTCAAGAAACATTGGATCGATTAAGGCTGTATACACAGCACACACACACACACACACACACACACACACACACACACACACAAACGCACGCGCACACACCCCCTATAGGGCACAGGCTTCAAAGAAAGGTAGATTTGGGATAGAGGTGGTGAAACGTGACTGGACTGTGGATGTTCTGGGAGAAGATCCATTAAGGTATACACTGGAGTAGGCAATCAAGCACATTTTGTTTCCTATTGTACCTGCACATACCTACAAATGGTTCACAGTCTGTTTTGTTTTGCCGACTGTAACATTTGTGCATTGTTTTTGTATTTGGATCTCTCCAGCAGAAATGACCAACTATGAGAAATAAGATAAAAGCACAAGTCTCCCAATTTCTGTCTACTACAAATTTTATGCCCTAAAACAAGTTTTGAAATAAAATCCCAAATTAGTATCTCTTTTCTGAAGAAAACCAAGATTGTAGAAGTATACATAACCAGTTCCTGATGAACCATGAAATTTTATTTAGTTACTTGAAATAGCACTTTACCATTTATTTTAACATTGAAGAATATACTGTTAAAACACTGTGTAGAAAAGGGTTATTTTCCAGCCGGGCGTTGGTGGCGCACGCCTTTAATCCCAGCACTCGGGAGGCAGAGGCAGACGGATCTCTGTGAGTTCGAGGCCAGCCTGGTCTACAAAGTGAGTTCCAGGACAGCCTCCAAAGCCACAGAGAAACCCTGTCTCGAAAAACCAAAAAAAAAAGAAAAGGGTTATTTTCCATAGAAAGAGTAGCTGAGATTTTTTTTGCCTTTTTTTATTTAATTTTTTTCATATATTGTAGTCTGATTACACTTTACCCTCCCCAAACTTCTTCTCTTACCTGCCTACCCACCCAACATCATGCCCTTTCTTTCTCTTTTTAAAGAATAAATAGCAAAACCCCAAGACACTCACCCACAAAAATGCAAAGTCAGAAACCAAAATATACAAGTAAAAGACCAATAAGACAAAAAGTGCCCAAACAAAGTAATGAGACAAGCCTGCAAATTACCACTGAGTTTGTTTTGTGTTGGGCATCTGTTACTCCTGGGCCTAGGACCTACTCCTAAGTGTGGTAGTATACCCAGTGAGACTCCATTGGAGAAGATGGATGTTTCCTTTGCCATTGGGTACCTATTGCCATTAACTTCTTGGTTAGGGGTGGGAGTTTATGTCCACTTCCCCATCTCAGTGAGGATCCCCTGGCTTGAACCTATACAAGCCCTGTGCATGCTTCCTTAGTCTCTGTGAGTTCATATGTATCAGTCCGATTGTGTCTGGGGACAGTTTTTACAGTCTTTTTGCATAGGTCCCTGAGCCCTGAGGGGAGAGAGTGATAAAGACATCCCTTTTAGGAGTGAATATTCCAGAGTCTCTGACCCTGTGCACACTGTCCAGTTGTGGGTCTGTTGCAAGAAGAAGCTTTTCTGATGATGGTTTATTGAAGCACTGATCTATTGATATAACAGAATGTCATTTGGAGTCATTTCATTGCTATCTTCCTTTAGCAGAACAGGAGGATTTGGTTTTCCCCTAGGCTCAGCTTCTCTGTATTCAGTGAGATATCTAAGTACTGTCTTCAGCAATAGGCCCTTACTATCAGTTTGTGGAGAGCAGCCAATAGCCTTGGCAATAGCTCGTTGAAATAGTAGTTGAAAGTCTAAAGAGGTAAATAACAAACTATACAAATCATTCTAGTGTAAACAGCGCTTTGGCAATGGCCTGGCTCCTTTACTGAGAGTTGAAGTGGTAGAATTTTGATTAGAATATAATGGTTACCCCAAATGTGGACTTTATCATCCACAGAGATCCCTGAACAGAAAACGGTGGAGTTGGGGATTCAGCCTGGTGCCTGAGATCTGAGGATTCTATAGTACATAGCATGGGGCTTATTAACACTTGGGCTTTTGGATTTCTGTGTCCTCTATCTGTTTATATTGAACCTTTAGGGGAAATAGTTCCATTTGCAAACCATTTCCTTATGTTGATAACATAAAGCAACATTGCTAGACTTCCATGGGGTCTTTTGATGGATGGTCATATTCTGGGTCGGTATCTTCTGCCCGGGTTTTTCACCTGTAATAATGTAGGATGAGACAGTAGTGCAACGATTGGGAGTGGCTATAAAATTGAGGAAAACAGCCAAGTGGGCAAGGCGGGAATTGAAAGATTAAGTGACACCGACACTTGGTTGTAGTTTTTGATGTTGACTTAACTTTATACGAAAAGTGTCTTACTAAAATATCAGCACAAAACTACAGTGGAATGATACATTAGTAAAGAATGAGTAGACATTTATTCTTGCTGTGGGAATTTAGAAGACTTCTGTCCCATTAGTCAGTCAAGTGAGAAATACATAAGTGAAGTTAGGCTAGTGAGCAAAACCAGACATGGAATCTGCCCCCTGGCCTAGCTAGTCAAGTTGGAGAAGAGTGAGCGAGTTTTAAAAAATGTGTAAAAGAAGCACAGTGAAGTAATGGATATGATAGAATCACAAATGTGGGTCAGGATATTAGAGCAGAGTGGAATTAGAGAATTTCTGAGATCCTTGGGGCCTTAGGCCTTCCCAGGTGGGGCCACATGCCCTTGGGCCTGCTGCTGCCGAGGGGCAGGATTCTTTATCGCAGTGCTTTGTCCTGGGCAATACCTCAGCCTCCTCTCAAATTACTATGCTCCTTCCTCATTCTCTCTCTTTCTCTTTGGTAGTGGTGGTGGTGGTTTTCGTTTTGTTTTGATTTTGGGTTTTTTAAGGCAAGGTTTCTCTGTAGCCTTGGCTGTCCTTGCATTCACTCTGTAGACCAGGCTGATCTTGAACTCACAGAGATCCACTTGCCTCTGCCTCCTGAGTACTGGGATTAAAGGTGTGTGCCACTACCTAATGGCTTCATTCTCATTTTTTTTTAAAAAAAATATGTTTTAAATTGACATAGAATTACATCATTTTCTCCGTACGTTTCCTCCCTCCAGCCCCTTCCATGTCCTTTCCACCTCTTTTCTTTGATTGTTGCTACACACACACACACACACACACACACACACACACACACACACACACACACACACACGTTTGTTGGTGTGTGTGTGTGTGTGGTTTCAGGGAGGACCACTCTGCACTGGACAACCTGTAAGAGGGCCGTCTCCAGGAGAGGCTAGTTCTCCCAGCAGTCACCAGTTGCTGTAGTTCTTTGTCTAGTAATGGGATGTACACTTTGATGTGTACATTGATATCGTCATTTTTCCAAGCTTGTTTACCAGCCATTTCTAGGAGAGACTTTCACGGCAGAATTCCTGGTTTTCTGACTGTTTCCCTCCCTTCTGCAATGTTTCCCCAGCCACAGGCACAGGAACTGTGATAGCTGTGTGTCTCCCAAGATCTACTGATCTCTGCATTGTGTCCATTTGGCTTTCTGTGATGACCTCCATTTAGTATA